AGTTGACCGCCTGTGCGTTCCCAACAGTGAAGAGATCCATAGTTTGATCTTAGGGGAATGCCATGATACAGAGGGACACTTTGGTTGGCAAAAGACACTAGCCAACCTCATGTGCGCGTACATTTGGCCTGGTATGAAGGCCGACTGCATAGAGTATGTCCACAGTTGTAGAGTCTGTCAGCAAAACAAGACTACTACGCGAGCCCCTCTTGGTCTTCTGAGACCCTTGCCTATTCCTGATTGACCCGGAGATTCTGTGTCCATTGACTTTATGGATACCCATGTCAAGAGTAGGCATGGCAAAAGTCAAGTCATGGTCATAGTCGATAGATTTAGCAAATATGCAGTTTGTGTTCCTTTGTCTGCAGAGGCACGTACAGACTTAGTAGTTCAGAAGTTTTTCTACCATTGGGTCAGTGAGCATGGTATACCACTGTCAATAGTTAGTGACAGGGATACCAGATTCACTAGTCAGAACTGGCAGGAGCTGATGAAAGTTTATGGCTCAAAGTTGCTCATGTCATCTGGTCGTCATCCTGAGACTAACAGCCAGGCTGAGCAGATGAACAAGCTCCTGCAGCAAGTTCTTAGAATGTACAATAGGCCCGATCAGGTCAACTGGGATGAGATGCTCCCAAAGGTAGCCAGTGCCTACAAGAATAGCGTGCACTTATCTACGTGTCGCACTCCCAACGAACTGCACAAGTCCTTTAGACCACGCAAACTGTTCGAGGGACTTAACCGGGATCAGATTCAGAGGCTACCACCCGGTACACGAGAGTTTGCGATACAACACGAGAAAGAGATAGCTACCGTTGTTGACAACCTCGGGAAAGCCCAGCATAGAATGATAGAGCAAGCTAACAAGCACCGTCGCCCCTCACAGTTTCAAGTAGGCGACTTAGTCTGGGTCAAGTCAAAAGAGTTTGCTCCGAAGGAGATCATCTCACATAAGTTGTTACCCGCATATAGAGGACCGGGGCCAGTCCTAGAAGTCTAAGGGCGGAGAGGATGGACCGTCCTATATTATTGAGATTCCAGCACACCTCCACACCTACCCAGTGTCCCATGCATCAAAGTTGTTACCTTGAATCACAAGCCAACAGTTCCCATTACGCAGATCTATGATTCCTCCAGATATGGATGGAAGATACGACATTGAAGGGATAGTAGGTGAGGATGTCTCGAGGACAGGAGGTAGAGGTCATCCCCAGAAACAGTACAAAGTCAGATTTGCCTATCAAGAGCCAGAAGACAACCGCCGGCTCACGCGAACAGAACTTCTAGAGACAGCTCATGATATAGTACGAGCCTATGAAAGAGATAAGAAAGGTAAAGGTCCTGCCTTAGACTGAAACATTCTCGAAGGACCTCGAATTTAGGCCGGCGGGAGTGAAACGGTTTTCACCTTTCTGCAGTCATAGATGTGGGCCCTAGAGTTCGATCCCCAGACCTCACTTTGCCCATGTACGGTATCGAGTCGACACCCGAGTGTTTGAACCCGTGACCTGTGTTTTGGTAGTTGTTTGTTGCTTGTCGTAGGTCTGTGTAGTGGTAGGAATTCGATCTGTAGGTCTGTCGAGTTGGAGTCCCAGCGTTGTAGAGGTAGTAGTTGTGGGTATTCTGAAAGTTCAAGGTCGTAGCTGCTACTGTCCTGAAAGGTCAAGGTCGTAGCTGTTACAGTACCCGAAAGGCCAAATCCCCAGACTTTCGGAAGGTCAGGAAGCGGCCTTTCCAAGTGTCTCACGTTTAGTCAGAGGCAAGTGGGCAAGTGGCGAGCCCAACTGCACTACGTCGGCAGTGCGACTGCATCGAGTTAGCTATGCAAACCCATGCAGTCGGCGGTACCGGTCCCAGTCAGTCAGAGTTCAGTCAAGCAAGTACCGTGTGGGACTGTGTACACCAAGGGCCTGGGAAAGGGGCTGACCAACGAGTTACAAAAGTATAAATCAAGAGGTAGCGCCCAGCCATTCATTGATTCGCTGCGTAAGCCATGTGGAAGCGCTGCTACAGCGTCTTGTGCGAAGGTGGTCTGCAGGTTGCCTGAAGACGAAGTGGGCTGAAGGGAGATCGTAGCCATAGTTAGTAGTGGTGTGTGGTGGTATTCAGGGTGCTCAGGGTGATCCAGAGTGAGCGTGTGTGAACAGTGGGGTTGGACACAGTGACGAAGGTTGGGATGTTCAGGCGCTGATCTGCCATAGCTTGTCAGGCGCATCTGAACTGTGTTCTTGATTTCCATATCTCTAAGCTTTGAGTGGGCGCCCTGCACCAGTGTGAATCTCCATTTGTTTGCATGTATCCGAAGTGGAAGTGAAAGCGAGTCTGATTGCATTGGTATAGGAGCTGGTTCCCGTTACCACACGCGCCCTCGCCGTTGCCAGCAGGGAAGAAGACGTGCGCCTGTGGGCGCCATAGCTGAGGCGCACCGAAACAAGAAGAATCCGCTATAGCTCTGTTGCGGAGTGAGGTGCCGTGTACCTGCACAGAAGACAACGACGAAGAAGGGAGAGAGAGAGAGAGAGAGAGAGAGAGAGAGAGAGAGAGAGAGAGAGAGAGAGAGAGAGAGAGAGACAAGATTGTTGTGCGGACCAAGAGAGAAGGCGGCCATAGCCGCAGAGCTCGGGCATAAGGTTACAAGGAAAAAAAAAGGTGAAGCGAAGGAGAAGAGAGGAGAGACGAAGGAGGATAAGTCACAGTTAGGGAGAAGGAAGGAGGGATGACAAAGGTGGAAGAAGCTATAGCCGGGGTGAAGTGAAAAAAAGGAGAAAGGAGAAAGGAAGGAGAGGGAAAATAAAGAAGGTGGCGAGGAAGAAAGAAGATCGGCAGCCATAGTCGAGTTAAGGGTTGACCAAGGTGTTGACCGAAGGGTTGGCCAACGTTGACCTAGACGTTGACCAGAAAGTTGACCGGCGAGTTGACTGACGTTGACCAAGGCGTTGACCGACGAGTTGACCAAGCGTTGACCAGCGTTGACCGGGGCTGTTGACCACGAAATTGACCAAGCTGGAGTTGGTATAATCTCGCCAAGCCCTTGGCCTATTCACTCACCCCTTGGTACTTGCTGAGTTTGTTTGTCTCTTCTTTCTGCATTGAGTCTCTTTTGTCCAGGTGCTAGGAACTCTGTGTATGGAGGATAGAGCCTTGTTGACCAAACCCACACGGCCTGAGTAGGGCTAAAGGCCGTGTCTGACGACTCGACTGACCCGGAGGACACGAACCCTCCCAAGGACCGGTACTGACCGGCGGGCTGCTCGGTGTGGCACGGTAGGCCCAAAATCCGAGTTGTGGGCTGCACAACGGCCTGTCTAAGTCTTGAGAGGACTTGCTGATCACGTTGTCCTGTTTGTGACGGTAAATAATTCCTGAGGAGTTACGGGGGATCCCCTTAAATGCCTCCTGATCAGCAGTAAGTCCTGTAGTGACAGCCTTAGTTTTAGGTCCAGGCTAGAGACCTTAGTTGACAAGGTCCTGAACCGGAGTGAAAGCCAGGTGGGATTGACCACAGGTGCAGGGCATCTGGGTCTGGACTGTAAAGGACAGTGGTGGCTTAAGCTTCCATCGGCTGGTAACCTGGTTGGATCAAAGGGTAAGGCTCTGTGGTCCTTAGAGAGTCAGTTAGTAAGTTAAGTCAGTTAGGGGGTGGAAGTGGTGAGGAGTGGAACTGACACTCAGTTGTGCACCTGTCACCATGGTTGGCACACGTGGTGGTACGAGCACCACCCCGTACACTAAGGAGCAGGAAGAGCAAGCCGCCGCAATACTGAAAGAGAGAAGAGAGAAGAAAGAGCTATTAAAGCAGGCGAAGTAGCAAGCCTTGTTGGAGGAGCAGGCGGCAAAGGAGAAGAAGTTGGAAGAGGAGATGGAGAGATTAAAGAAAGAGGAGGAAGAAAAGTTGAAGGAAGTAGAAGAAGAAGAAGAAGAAGAAGAAGATATTCCGTTGCGAAGGAATGTTAGGAGGACATGGGAAGGAGAGTCAAGTGGCACGGTAGAAGAGGAGAAGTTGGAGAAGATGGTGAGTGAGTGGGTAGCAAATCTATCCGTGGGAGAACATGAAGAGGCCATGATGTATATTCCCCAGGACGAGAGAGACGCAGCAATTGCTGAGATCCAAGCAGTTCAGGATCCCTTGCAGCATCAGGCCTTGGAGGAGGAAAAGAGGATGGAGTGGAAGTTGCGCCTTAGAAGACAGAGAAGGAGGCGCATAGAGGTGGCGACAGAATTGTTGGAGGAGTTGGCCGCCACGAGGGAACAACATGCACATTTGGCCGAGCGAAGAAGATGACCTCGCCCAAAATAGCGCAGCAGCGCTCCAGCAACGGACGGGCAGAGTTTCCCCCTGTCAAACAAGATGCAAAAGACCCCGGTACTTCTCGTTACTTCCTATTTTCTACGAACGGGTAGCCAGCCCAACGACCTACAATCCTACCAGAAACATCTACAGAGTCCTAGTGGTCCTAGACCTACAACTAAGAACCTAACTAACAACCAGCAGGTCACGGGGTCAAGCCCCACAACAATCAAAATAGACAAAACAACACAAACAGGGAAAGTGACAACCACAGCAAACAAAGGTAGCGGGATCAAGTCCCGACAACGACAAAATGGGCAAAATTAGTATACAGCCCGCTTGCAGCACTGCAATTCATTGCATGTGTATGCAGTGTGCATCTGTCTGATGGGAGTCATATGTTTTATCAACAACTGTGTTCGGTCGGTGAGTGTTTGAAAGGAGCAGTTTGTTGCTCTGATTGATTCGGTAAGGCCATCAGCGAACACGAGGATAGCAGGGAATGTGATTATTGGGTTTCATTTCATTCATTTGCATTCTCTGTTCTTCGATGAATATTTGGAAGGAGTGTGTTGCTCTGATGAATGCTATAAGATAATCAGCAAACACAACGCACAGTTCAGGAGGTGTGGTTGTGCTCTGCTCCTGGACGGTGCTCTTCTAGTCTTGCTATCGATGGGTCTTTTCTCAGCATCTTGACTATGGGTTGTATGATAAGTGGAAAATTAAAAATTTGTAATTTACTATTTTTTCTTGTGAGGACCATAGGAGAAAAGGAGGGTGAAAAAAAAAAAATGGCCTTCATCTGATTCGTCATACTTGTTCTTTATGGGAATACTGGGTGCATTTCTGACCTGGGAGTTTTGTCTATCTGTTGATGCAATGTGTCATAGTCCCTTCTTCTTCTAAGCAACCTGCCGCAGCAAAGAGGCAAGTGATGGGGCAGAAGGACCCAGACGACAAGAATGCCGGCACAGCAACGGGGAGCGCAAAGCTTAGCTCTCAGAAAGTGGCGAAGTGCACGTCAACCTCCACCCAAACAAACAAACCAGGAGTGCAGGTTCAAGGAGGGCGAATGAAAGCAACAAGTAAGGTGGGTGCGGCATCGGGAGGTAAAGGTCTAGTCAAAGTTAAGAAAGAGGAGCCCGAGCTAGAAGAATCTGATCCGTCGCCCTGCAAGAAAACATCTGGAAATAAGAGCACGAATGGGGGACAGTTAAGTAAGGCAGCAATGGGGGCAGTGAAGACAGAAACCTCGAGCAAGGGTAAGGTAGCAGCACAGCGGAAAACGCCAAACTCAAATGGCCAGGGTGCTGCTGTGCGGGAGTTGTCACCGAGGAAGAAACCAAAGATTGAGAGGTGACTGGGATCATCACTGGATGAAAGGGGAATTCAGGATTACAGATAGAGAAGGGGGAACGGAGAAAGGAGAGGAGGTAGAGGAGAGAGGTTGGTCGATGGGATTGTTTTAACCCAGGAATGTATGCAGACAGACCAATGACCTGACATCAAACCTACGAGTGCAAGTGCTCCATCGACGGCCCAGATCTGCTGTACCAGGGACGTGGCAGCATTATCAGGACAGCTGGATGGCCGACAACTTGGTGGATAGGTCAGTGGCCTGCAAATCGGTCTCTTTTGAAGCTATAGCCTATAGGGGCTTTCGAATCAAGCACAGCAGGTGGCGTCTCGCCTTGTAAATAATCACAGTCTGGTTGTGAATGGATGTGCGAGGCGAAATTCCATTCAGAACAGTAGGACGAGTGCAAGTGCTTAGATCGACGACCCAGATCTTCTGCACTAGGGACATGGCAGCATTGTCAGAACAGCTGGAAGGCCGACAAATTGGCATACACGTCAGTGGCCTGCAAATCGGTCTCTTTTGAAGCTATAGGGGCATTCAATTCAATCACAGCAGGTCGGCTCTTGCCTCAAAATTAATCACTGTATGGTTGTGAATGGATGTGCCAGGCGAAATTCCATTCAGAAAATAGGAGGATGGTGAATACGTTGACCACATACTATGTATTCTCCTTCGCCGTTGTGCAACTCCAGATGGGCATGTTATTTCTGTTATGTTCCACTATACCTTGTCAATTGTTCAGTCCTTGGCGGATCGTTTTAATCTGAGTGCATGAAGGAATGTTAGAGAGGGATTTTCACTGCCTTTCCCTGTGACAATAGACCAAAAAACTACAGCTCGAGAACTATTTGGCCGCAGGGAAAGGAGGGGTAAAGTCCCGGACTTCAACTTTGCAAATAGGGGATCTCTTGCAATATGCAATTCAAAGGTCCATTGTTGAGTCCATCAGCGGCTGGCATTAGTTCTTGTCTATCCTCATGACAAGAGGGCTCACAGTCCTTAGCACAGCGGACAGTTGCTGTGCTCTCAGTTCCATGTTAGAAAGACCGACTAGTTGATAATCAAAGCCTGTCGATTCTTGCAGACAAGAAATCCTGTTAGGGAAATGAACACGATCAAGTGGCTCAATTCCAGTTTAGAGAAAGCCACAAGGTGTGGTAACTAATGCTGTCAGCTGTTGCAGGACTCGGATTCGCACAGGAGAAACCAACAAGATGAAGTTGAGTAAGGCGTACTCACACTTTGACTGTATTAAACCGACCGACTGAACGAACATGGCAGTAAGTAGAGGCCGAGTACGTTCATCGATCGAAAGTAATAAGGTGTGGTGAGCGAAACTTCTGCCGATCGGCAATCAGGGTCATGCTGTGGTGGGATTTGCATCTTTAGAAATCTGGCATTGGATGCAATGCGATGAGATCTGAAGCTTGCAGCAATTTTTTTCATGCAGAAGCAGAAGTGATTGCTTTCAGATCTGTTTTGTCCATGAGGATGATTTTCTTCTCCTTCAGACCATCAGTGGTGTCACTGGTGTGTGTGAAAGGTATCATGGAATGGAGCCTAGGAGAGCACACGTTTCGGACCTTCTTTCCCTTTCAGGGAGGTGATTCACTTTTCCTCTTTTTCTTTTCCTGTTTTTTTGTTTTTTTTGTTTTTTTTTTAAAGGTCCAGGGTGTAGTAGAGGGTAGTGGCCAGGCCTCAGGAGGTGCCCATGGTACTGTTAAGTCTGAAAGGTGTTATGTGCCCTCATCGGAGCCAGAGTGGGAGTAGTTATTAAAAAAAAAAAAAAAAAAAGAGTGGGAGTAGGGCACTGGAGATGGAAGTTTGTGTCTGGTTCTGCGGTCGGTCGGCAAGTAGAGTAGTGATTCTCTCTTGTCTAGTTCACTGTGGGTTCATGGGTTTCGAGCGGGAGAGTCGGGAGAGGACGTGTGCTGTTTTCCTCCTAGTGACAATTCGGTCACAGCATCGCTCGGACCATTCGGACAATAATTTTTTATTTTCTTCCTTTTTTTGCATGGTCGGTCTTGTCTAGTTCACTGTGGGTTCATGGGTTTCGAGCGGGAGAGTCGGGAGAGGACGTGTGCTGTTTTCCTCCTAGTGACAATTTGGTCACAGCATCGCCGCCGGACCATTCGGACAATAATTTTTTATTTTCTTCCTTTTTTGCATATGTAGGGGGTACAGGGCCACAGAGGTGTTCTCTATGTTCCAGGCAATGCGCAGGAGAAGGCTATGTTGATTGATAAGATTGTCATCCCCTCCGCCCCCCCCCCCCCCCCCCCCCCCCCCCCCCCCCCCAACACCCCCCTTCCATTGGTCCGTTTCTCAAAGTCTGAGGTGCATCAGTGGAAGGAGGGGGCAGAGAGAGGAAGTAGAACCGTCTTTCCTTCTCCCATTGGTTGGTGATTGAGGAAGGCCAGGCGCTAAGCTTTCCTCATGTGTAAATACGAAGTAGTCCTGTTTGCCTCTCGAACACATTCCATTGTTGGTTCAAGCAGCATAGACTGCAGTTTATTCTTCGTTCTCAAGTTTCCATTCAGTGGTAGGAGGCCCATGATGCTCTGTTGTCTCAACACGCAGGGAATGCTAATCTTTTGGGTCAGAATGTGGAAGTGGCCGATGGCTGGCTGCTCCGTCTTTAGAGACAGAGCGAACGGCATACAGATTAAATTTTGTGATCAGCAATTGTGCCATTGAGATTTGTCATCTCTCTCTCTCTCAAACACGTTCTGGTCAATCATGTCATGGTTATCACATTGACATGTCATGGTTATCACATTTACGGCCTAGCAACTCTATTTGCGGGGTGTTCGTCTGTTTGTTTCTTCAGTCTAGAGAACATGCGGGCTGTACAGTGGCAAGCGGGGGGGTATTTCTGAAACATGTCGTCTATCTGGTTTGTCCCTTTTTTTCCCGTTTTTCCCCCCCCATGAAACATGCGGCAGAGCGGAGAAGCGGGGCTCGCGATTTTGGTGCTGGTGTTGCTAATGCTGACGGTGCGACCACTGATTTTTTGCTGTAAAGAAGGAAGAGGCAGTGAGTCCTTGCCAGGCCAACTCAGCCATCTTTTTCTGCAAGAATTGAGGACGGTGCAATGAGCTGTCGTTTGTCCCATCCTCCCTCAACCCCCTGCCCCGCTTCCCTGTCCTCTCGTCCCCAGCCCAGTGACTTGATGCTTCCTCCAGCAGAAATCGAAGGTAGGATCTGTCCAAAGCAAACAACAAGGATCCCTCGGGCCACATAGGCTCCCGATCCACACAACGGAGGAACATTGAAAGAACAACTTGACAGACCCTGACTACCAACGCACGGAACGTAGGGAGAGGGCCAAAAGCGATTCGAGGGCCGGTCCCAGAACTGGCCTGAGGTACACATTGCCAGGCCCGACAAGACGGAGGTCACATTCTGGCAAAATGGAATTTTGGAGAACTCGATGTACCTGGGCGAAATCTGTTCACAGGGTGGCCACGGAAATGTGTGCAGGCAAGGGGATCTTGCAGAACTATATTGCCACCAGCGGGCCTAGCTCAGTTGGTACACCCTTGAACTGTTGAAATATTGGCCCAAGTTGGAATCCAGACGCAATCACATGAACAGAAGAAAGTATTCCTGAAGTACCTGGGGCCGGCGTGTGTCATGATGATATCTCAAGACCGTCGCCCTTTTTTTTTTCCGGCTATATCACCCTCTTGGCACGGTCCTGGGCACAATGCAGCATGTGATACGAGAAAAGGAGCCTCATGTGGACCTACGAAAAAGCCATCCAGCATCAGTGCTGCCTGCGCACAGGCAAACAGCACTGGACAGAGCAGCTCCCCTCCCACCGCGACCCCAAACATCCAGCATGGCGATGGCACTGCTGGAACCACGCCATACTCACACCGAAAATGACATCCAGACTCAGATGAGTGGAATAGAAATAGGGGCCGGCGGCCTAGCTTAGTTGGTAGAGCACATGAGTGGCATTCAGGAGGTCATGGATTCAACTCCCCACGTCGTCCATTCGGTTCCCCGCAATCATTGTGGCGCACTTCGGGTTCACCAGCTGAGATAGTTGGCTTGCCTCCCTTGGCTGGTCTTGGCTGGTCTTGGTAGGCACCCCCCCCCCCCATCCTTCACCAGGGGTTAGGTGGGACAAAGATGTACACTGCTTGTTGAGATTCCACTAGCACTGCATTGTCCATTCAGTCGTTTTTATCACATTGCGGATCCTTGGTCATATATGTACATCGCCCAACTGGGCATGTAACACACTGCTGGAACCACGCCATAGTCATACCGAAAATGACATCCAGGCTCAGATGAGTGGAATAGAAACAGGGGCCGGCGGCCTAGCTTAGTTGGTAGAGCACATGAGTGGCATTCAGGAGGTCGTGGATTCAACTCCCCACGTCGTCCATCCGGTTCCCCGCAACCCTTGTGGCGCACACCAGCTGAGATAGTTGGCTTGCCTCCCTTGGCTGGTCTTGGTAGGGCCGCTGTTACATGCTGCGCCTGCAGCAGGCTGCACGGGCCATTTTCAGGCCCGTGTCGTTTTCAGCCTGAAAGCCTGAAAACAAGGGCCTACAGGCCCTGTGTCGTTTCAGCCTGAAAGCCTGAAAACAAGGGCCTACAGGCCCTGTGTCGTTTCAGCCTAAAAC